CTGTTGCGGGAGGGAAGAGAGGGGGTGAGGGCAGAAGTGTGGGAGATGGGTCAGACCTGGTTGAGGGCCCTGTCGACAATGGTGCTGGAGAACCCTCGGTTGAGGAAGAAGGTGGACATTTCAGAGGCTCCCTTGTCGAAGTTGGCCTCATCGGAACATATACGACGGAGACGAAGGAACTGATACAATGGGATGGAGTCTTCACAGGAAGTGGGGTGTAAGGATGTATCATTCAGGCAGATGTGGGAGTTGGTGGGTTTATAGTGGTTATTAGTGGCCAGTTTGTCCCCAGAATTGGAAACAGAGATGTCAAGGAAGGGAAGGGAGAAGTCAGAGATAGACCAGCTGAAAGTGAGGGTGGTTGGAAACTGGAAGCGAAATCGACTAACTTCCAATTGCAGACGAGACAGGAAAGCAGCACCAATGATACCATCCGTATACCGAAGAAAGAGTTGTGGGTGGGGGCCGGAATAGGACAGGAACAAGGAATGTTCTATGTACCCCACAAAGAGATGGGCATAACTGGAGTCCATGCGGGTTCCCATGGCTACCCTTCTGACCTGAAGAAAATGAGAGGAGTTAAAAGAGAAGTTGTTAAGGGTGAGAACTAGTTTGGCCAAGCGCAGGAGGGTGGTGGTGGGTGGGGATGGTTCAGGCCTTTGCTCCACAAAGAAGCGGAGAGCCCCGAGACCATCCTGGTGGGGAATGGACGTGTAAAGGGATTGCACGTCCATGGTAAAGAGGAGGCGGCTGGAACTGGCAAACTGGAAATTCCAAAACTGGCATAAAGCAACAGAGGAGTCACAGATGTAAGTGCCACCAGCATCCACATCTAGGAGATCATCAGCAGCCATTTCCGCCACCTCCAGCAAGATGCTACCACCAGACATATTCCCCTCCCCTCCCTTGTCCGCCTTCTGCAGGGACCATTCCCTCCGGGACACCCTGGTCCACACTTCCGTCACTTTCAATGGCCCCTCACAGTCCCCTTGCATCTTTCCCTGCCACTAGCGAAGGATGTAAAACTCGCCCATTTGCTTCCTCCCTCCTCAACATCCAAGGGCCCAAACATACCTTCCAGATGAAGCAGCACTTCACCTGCACTTCTCACAATCTAGTCTACTGCATTGGCTGCTCAGTGTGGTCTCCTCTACATTGAGGAAATGAAGCCGAGGTTGGGTGACCGCTTCACAGAACATCTGTGTTCTGCTCGCAAAAAGGACCCTGAGCTTCCAGTTACCTGCCACTTTAACACACCACCCTGTTCCCTGGCAAACATCTCTGCCTCAGGCTTGCTGCAATGTTCTAGCAAAGCTCAGCACAAGCTGGAAGAACAGCACCTCATTTTCCGCTTGGGGACACTGCAACCCTCCAAACTCAATATCGAGTTCAATAATTTTAGGGCCTGAACTGTCCCATGTCCTAGCCCCCTGCCCCACACACCAGGCCTTTTTATCACATAGCCTGCCATTACACATCACCTATTGTTAGTCACTAACAGTCTCTATTAACACCTATTCACCCTTCCATTCAGATTGTTATCCAATCCTTTGACTGTTCAACTGTTTTTCTCTCTCTTTAGGCTCTATCCCCACCTATTGTTTCCTCCTTTCCCCCCAACTCCCACCCTACCTTCTGCACATAAACCGACATTTTCCGAGCTACCTTCGGTTCTGAGGAAAGGTCACCAGACCCGAAAGGTGAACTCTGATTTCTCTTCACATGCTGCCAGACCTGCTGAGTTTTTCCAGCAATGTCTGTATTTGTTTCTGATTTACAGCATCCAGGGTTCTTTCTGTTTTTATATAAAAAAAAAGACACTTGTTTTTAGAGGAGTTTTTATGGTGAATTTCCTGACCAAAACTTTCCAAGCTGAAGCACTGTAGCCAAATCCAGGAATCCATGAGCACTGGAGTGGAGAAGATCAGTGTGGAAACCGCTCCCCGCTTTTCACTGTTAACTGCCTATAATTGTATGATTTAAGGTTCTGTAGCCATTGCGAAAGCTACTGAGAGAAGTTAAGTGTGTAAAGTGTAGGGTAAGGTATAGTAGTTCGGAAGAAGGGTCATGGGACTCAAAAAGTTAAATCTGCGTTTAACCACTGTCTTTTGACTGCTCTCTCTCCTCAGCAAGAAAGATGAATAAACTCAGGAGCAGAATTGCAAACAGCTGCTTGCTGCAAAAATATTGTAAATTTTACTCTGCTTTCCTGAGACAGGGCACTCCACGGGTAAAATGTGCTCCATCTGCTGGTCTGGCCATGATAATAAAACAGGAAAGAATTGGAACGTCGGGCTCCTGTGGTGCAATGGTAGTGTCCCTAAGTCTGGGTTCATGTTCCACCTGACCTAGCGGTGTGTCTTAATGTTTGAACAGGTTGATTAAAAGTAAATTTAACTTGGAATTTGAGATAGTAGGAACTGCAGATGCTGGAGAATCCGAGACAACAAGGTGCAAGGCTGGATGAACACAGCAGGCCAAGCAGCATCATAGGAGCAGAGAGG